GCCTCCCCCCTTCTGCTCCGATTTTCTTACTTCTCAGCCCGTCCGTCCCACGACTTGCCTTCCTCAGTCAAGTGCCCTTCTAGTCCTTCTTCTCTTCTTTTTCTGCACCTCTCATTTTTTGCCGGCTCATCATTTGCCCCCTCTCTCCCACCCACCCCCCTCCCTCCCCTCCCTCTTACTACTTACTACTTACTACCACCACTACCACTACTACTACTACTACTCTCATTCCCCGCAAGCCTTCGTTCTAGCCGGTCACGTTAAGGTTCTGCTGGCCATCGGTCGGGGACCTTGCCCTAACACAGCTTCCTGCCCAATTGTTCGTCGTTTTAATCTCGTGCCACGTTCCGCTGCGCCGCCCGAGCGTTTTGCACCTTCGCCATCTGGTAAGCTCCATCCAGTCCTGCACCGCAAACCCATGCCCCGGAACCATTGGCCCTCCCGTACATAATTTCCGTCAGCCCCCCCATGTGGCCGAAGCTGACACGATTTGTTCCTTTACTTAACATTTAGTGTTCCCTTTTTTTTCTTCTCCTACTCTTCCTCTACTTTTTTTTTGTTGGGGGAAATAAAAAAAGTCGATTCTCATCATACACCTTCTCTCCTTCGCCGACCACAGTGAATCTTCACTTAACACCTCCCTCCCATCCGCCTGTCTTTCCTATCCTTCTCACTCTCCGTCTTCCGCTCGCTTTCACCACGACGGCTCCTCCCGCCCTCCTCTCCTCTCCGGCAGTTTTTCCATTTTCCCTCTTCCGGGCATACCTTTGCGACCTGGACGTCACTGCGCCCTTCACGATTTTCGCATAGCATTTTTCGCCCTTGCCTCGGACTCCGTGTCTGCCGATTCGCCAATACCGTGCGAAGACGGTTCGTTGACGCATACCACCCTCTTGGTTATACGCCCCGGTGTTGACTGTCAAGTGGAGACAGACGTCTAGCACCCTGCTGGATTTTGTCACTTTGCATTTAATTCCGCCAGAAACGGAGGTCTTTCAGAATCAGTTGGATTAGCGATTCGCCCCCCATCGAGAGTCCGTCAACGCGCCAGTCTGTTACCTCGGTTTTCGGATAGTCGTACTTGCGCGCACCCCACGGACTTCGCCATTGGAACACATACAATTGGTTAAGTTTATACTACATAAATCGGTCTGCCAGTCAACGTTGAAACGTTCACTGTCTTACTACGTGTTGTGCCGATCCCCGAACATGAGATAGCGGAGAGACCCTGAACTTTACACCATCTGCTCTCGAAACACTTCAGAACACTCCTTGCGATATCGCCTCTTTTAACGCCTTTTCCCCCCCGATATCCATTTCCTTTGTACCTTTTTAGAGTGCTGGTACACCAGTCAACACATTGTCATGGAGACTACTCTTGCTCATCGACCTTGGGAGCCCGCTACCACGGGACCGCAAACCCCTCCAGTGTCGTCTACTCAGACTCTCCCGTCTATCTCGACCTTGACAGCAAGTATGGCCGGTGGCATGCCTACCCAGGCCGAGAAGTCACCGGGAAATGCCTCTTTAAATACGATAGAGCGAGATTCGGGGAATTGGTCTATGCCTCAGAGTACCAGTAAGGCTTCGTCCTATTCATTCCCACCTGCGGAGGCTGATTGTCCCCTAGGGTCGTCTACCTACTCAACCACGACAAATGCGACAGGCAACTATCCCTCCCTCTCCTTCCTCACCTCCCAACCTTCTCCCAATCGTGCATCCTACGTCTCGGATCGGTCCCCTTACCCTAACGACCACTCTAACACCAACACACCTTCGTCTGCGGGAGCGCAGCCTTCTCCGAATTTCGGTTCGACTCAGCCGAACACAACTCTACCTTCGATCAACCAGAACTACGATGCGCCTTCTCAACGAGGCAGTATGGTGGAGCCCCCTGAGTCTCGACGGAGCAGTGTGGATAGCAGGATGAACCAAGGAATCAGCTCGCTTGCTATTAACCCCGCATCTCCTTACCATAGCACGAATGCTTCGCAAACGTCGATTGTATCGGGTCTTCAACGAGAGCGCGGTATTTCCATGGACGTGAATATGAACAATTCCTATCGCGGCCCTCGATACTCTGGGGGCCAACCACTCTCCCCACTTGGCCCGCGGGCTAGCGAACATCGCGGATTTGCGGCTGGTCGCACTGCACCTGCCATCTCATCGAATCCTCGCTCCGAGATTTACAATGCGGAGGCACCTACCGCTGGTCTTGCATACGCTTTCCCCGATCCCGACGTTGCGCGATCCAACTCTGTCTCGTCTACCACCGAGAAGTCAACCAATCAATTCTCCCGCAAAGGAAGTACAGCTGAGTCGCTTGCCAGTAGCGTCTTCTCCGATGCACGGTTGCCTCGTGGACAGCATGGTATGTCTTTCTAGGTTCTCAAGATATACGAACTACGGTTCCTGACATTTCTCTATTAGAACTTCCTCAAAATGTGCATCACCATTCATTACAGCACAAACAAGTCCGTGGCCTCATTGGAGAAGCAGACGCACATAGCGGTAGTACGCCTTACAGCAGGACCCCCGAGCTGAGAGTAACACACAAGTTGGCGGAGCGAAAGCGCCGCAGTGAGATGAAGGATTGCTTCGAAGCTTTGCGTGTCCGCCTCCCACAAAGTCAGAACAATAAATCGAGTAAATGGGAGACACTCACAAGAGGTAATTTAAACGATCACAACCACAGCCCCAGTTGCTGTTTCTTGTGCTAACATACTTGTAGCTATTGAATACATCTCACATCTTGAGAAGATGGTTACTACTACTCGCAGAGAAAATGACGTTTTGAGGAGCGAACTTGACGAGATGCGGGCGCAACTCAGTCAGCAGCAAGCCAACGGCCAATCTCGACAGCCGTCGATCTTCGAGCATCATCCCATAACAGCGCCACAGCCGAATGGGCAAGTGCATGGCGCTATGTTTTCCGGTTATGCTCCTGGAACCGCGATGCCGCAAGAGCAACCGCGAACGCTTCCTCCTCTCATGAACGGGACTGTGGCTCCAATGCAAGGCGTGCAATACACCGACGAACGGCGGTAGCTGATCGAGAGCCACCGATCGTGTTACCCATGATATAGCCCACGATGAATGCATTGGTGACGGTTGCTTTACTTGACACGGTCCTCATCACCCCGCGCTCTAGACGTGATATCCGATTTCTCTTTCTCTGGCTTGTAGATTTGTTTTGGGTGGCTATCGTCCTTTCGAGCGTCCATCTGCTTGACTATTTCATCATCCTACCCATCATTCTGGTCGGCATGACAGCGATTCTTGGCTAGCCTATGGCGGGGAACCGATACCTCATCCTGTTTCTCTATATTTCTCGCCTCTCCAACATTACTCCCCTGGTCATGTCCCGTTACATAACATCTCGGGATCCAGGTGGCTTCCACCTCCCCAGTCATTTCACCCCTACCCGTTTTTGCTCCTCTTTACTCCTCCCCAAGAAATGTAAACTTGAGGGTGTGGGATCTGTGTTTATTCGCCCTTCATCATGTATTGTCGGTGTTTGTTTAAGGTACCGAGAATGCACGGAAGAAGGTCAAAAAGGAAACACGAACAACAATTGTTTGGAAAAAGGAGTGTGTGTGTATGTGTGGCATTGTTTTGATATCCCCATGGTTTGTTTATTATGTGTATTTTGCTCTACAGATACCTGGAAATCAAATGTCGAAGCATCGGTTGATACCGGTCGACACGGATGTCGATCGAGAACCTATTTCACCTCAATTTCCGTCCTGGTAATTTCCGGATTGAGCCGACTAAGCAGAGAATCTCATGACATTGTAGCTTCAAACCGCCTTTGATTGTTGATATTGTTAGTTAGGAGGTCAGAGCTACTTGGCTTTGGGGGGGAAGGGGGCATCCGGTGGACTGTGTTTGATGCAGGCTATTTTTGTCTCTGGCGTCGTGGCTGCTGATTGGCGCCCGGCGATGTTTCTGCAACCTCACCGGCGTCGTAGATATGCTTCTGTTAGCGCCGCGTGCCCCCCATCGGCGGCTACAGAGCTCCCACGGCTTCTTCAGGAACCAATCCACCCCTGGAGCTACCTGCCAAACATCATCTTGCAGAGTCGATCCAAGCAACCTTGACCAATGGTGTCGACCCGACCGGCTCGACGGTCTGAGGCCGGAGGATTTGGCACTCTGCACAAATAGTAGCCAGGACCATGCGGGTCCGCAAAGTGTCCAGGTCAAGGATGGCTGTTGCATGATATGCATGAGCTCTCCCATTCAATCTTAGCACCCACCGGGTGCTTGGACTACTTCCTGGCATCAGCCGGTCGTGTTATGATTCTTCCATCGTTTCTCCTCTTCTTCTCTGTTGCTGCCTTGCTTGTCAATGTGCTATTTCTCCCACTCCAGCGGGTCGTGTTTGAATTGTCCACCTAGAACACGGTTCGGACCTATTCGCTTTTCTTTGTGCTCTTTGTATCCTCTTCTAACATAAGAGTGGAATGTGTGAATAACAGCCGGCGTTGTTGTGTTGTTGAGTTGAGGCTGCTTTGTGCTCTGAAGGTCATTGTTTCCTCTGGTTTGCGATTGTCTCACCTGATTGCTTTGATCACAACAATAGCAACTCAAGCGTCCTTTGTTTTGCACTTGCACGATCAAAGACTATCCATCTATCAAGGAAAGGCTTCACAATCTCGCAGCTGGCTTGCTTGATCTATACCGAAACGACCTTCATCTGCTACACCAGTCCGTCTACGGTACTTGGCCTACTCCAACCCCCCTGAAAGCTGTGTTACTGAAACCAGCCAACTGATGATCTGGTCTAGTATAAGGCAGTTTTTGGGCCTCGCAGGCCATACGGCCCCCGAGATGCAGAATTCGACGGCAGGACTACGAATTCCTGCAGCTCCGACTTTCCCTTTGTCGTCTCCTATCACAGAGGAGATTCCGAGCCCGGTGCCATCATCTCCAGAGGATCATGACATGGAAAGAAATCGACCTTTTGCTTTTCTGAATAAAACAACACGCAGGAATAACCCTTTTATACGCGAGGGAAGTTATGACAAGCACACACAGTCACAGGAAGCAGTGGATGGGACCGGGGTCTTTTATCAGACTAGTCCGAACCAAGAGGACCTAAGCAAGCTTGGACTCTACACAGGAAAGAGCTCAGAACGGCCTGTCGGGTTGAGTTTGGTTACTGACTTCTCTCATTCTACGTCAAAGCCGCCTGAAGATGGATCAGTGCCAACTTTGATGGATTTGAATGACCTAAAAGCCCTCTCTGAGGTACGAGAACAGGAAAGGAATGCACACACTTTGAAAGGGATATTGAAGAAAGTTCCTGGTCAGGACTATGACCAATCGTCCGAGAAACCGTCCGTATTCGACAACAAACGACTGTCTTACTTCAACATCCGGCGTAAAAAGAAGGGAAATGATGATCTGTCGCCATCCGATCGGCCGATTATGATTGGACTAAGCATGCCATCTGATGAATCGCTGAGCACTCAAGGAAGAGGGCTAACAGTAAACACTGGACATGCCCAACGAGCGGCACTGACTCCCTCTATAATTGTGACTCCGGCCAAGGAAGACACATTCTGGACCGGCCTTGACACGACTCATCCTCGTCCTAGGATAGCGTCTAGCATTTACTCCCAACCAACGCCGTACCCCGATGACAATGACAGTGACATTAACATACCGCCTGTCCCGGCTATCCCGCATTTTGCCTTCTTGGGGCAGAATGAGAACCCGAGCACGAACATGAGTACTGAGTCTACACAAAGGCAGTCTGTACCCGCAGCAGGGAGACAGCGCTCACTCTCAACTGGCACTCTGTTTGAAGAAGATGATGCGCGACGGGAGAGCCGGTCTCGGTCATATTCTAGCGGGAATACCAAAAAGATTCCAGATAGACTAAGCATCAACACTGAAACAAACAGGCATCAGTCCCAGGGTTGGTGGACCTACTTGCTCTCACCTTTGTTGAGTCGCTACAGCACAGCCATAGGTCCCACCACCCCAACTGAGACTGCTAGACCACCAGTCCCCAGTATCGCAACGGAGTCAAGGGCATCGAGTGATGAGTGGTGGGAAAAAGAAGTATCCAGCTTTTCGCCCGACACTCCAGAAGCCATAATACCTCACCATAAGGAATTGACGCCTGATTGGCCAGACGCTGATCTGAATCCCTTTGATGAGAAGAGACTGAGTGAACAAGACCAACCTGTCGAACGAGAGAGAGATGCCACATCATTTATGTTCCCGGGAAGGCCAATCCAGGGCTCTGCAGCTGAATACTACCAAGCTTGTGCCCACGAATTGTTCAGTGGACGGCCGTACTTCGAATGCGTCAACCATGTCTGCTCTATAACACCCAAAGACAAGATCCCCGGCTATACTGAGGGTACAGCTGTAAGCTCCACAGACAGTAGGGATCTCCTGATCGACGTGGGAGACATGCCACAAGATAAAGGCACTGGCTCGACAGCTATGCCAACTACCTCAGAGGCCCGCACTGTGTATGAACCGAGTGTTATGGATAAGGGAGTAGAGGCCGCCCTTGACAATCTTCAGGACGATGATCCAGTTGGGAAAGCTAGCTCAAGGGGGATACCTCTTTCTGAGCATCCTCCAATCCAATATCCTCCAACCCTGCGTCCTCTGAGCGAGTATCCTCCGAGCGAGCATCCCCCAATTGAGCATCCTCCTAGTCAGCACCCTCCCAGTGAGCATCCTCCCAGCGAACATCCCCCGAGTGAGCACCCTTCGGCTGGTGAACCTCCCGGCAACACTTCAAACCAGCCCATTTCTGATGAAGTGTCGCGGGGGTTGCCTCAAGAAACAATTCCAACGCCGCATGCCGGAGGAGAAACAGGAGAATTAGCACCGCCTCCAGACAGTCAATATGAAAGGAAAACATCTTGGCCGATCTTTCAGCCAATCATTCAACCAGTGGTCCAACCAGCTCCTCAGCCAGCACCCCAGCCAGCCATTCAACCCATAATAGTGCAAGCTCCACAGCCGGTTGCACAACCAGCGCCTCCAGCTCAGACTATCCATGTCCATCCCGCTACTGTCCCATCGCCAATTCTCATAGCACCCAATGGACACCAGCATCCAGCATTCCCTCAGGAACAGCAGGCTGAACCGCAGCCTCCTAACCCTACGTCTCCTGGCCTTCAGCAAGCCACCGAGAGGGCTGGGTCAATCCCGCTATCCGACATGCATACTACTCCAGCGCCTGCATACACATCCAATCACAACAGCTCATCTACCCCAGTGCCTACATATACTTCTCACTACACTAGCTCCTCTATACATCGCATGGAGCCTCATCCACTCTCACGAGAGGAAGTGTCACATACCACCACAGAGAGAGAAATCATCGAGATACGGCGGAAAACATTAGAGACAGAAGATAAGAAGAAAAAGAAAAAGAAGTTTGGCCTGTTGTTCTGCTGTTGCTGTTGCGGTGGTGACCGGTCTCACAAGAAAGGCTGTTTCGGTAGGAAAGACAAGAAGGAGAAGAAGGTCAAACGTCGGTGGTACCTGGCTATCCTCACATCCTTCCTCATCATCATAGCGATCATCCTCCTCCTAGTCATGACCTTGACAGGAAAAGGCGACTCAACTCCTGTGGAATCACAGTGGCTCAATCTCACCGGCTATCCACCGATGCCCACCGGTATCGCAACGATTGCCGGACCAAAGCCTCAGGTCCAGCAATCAGGATGCATAACCCCATCCACGCTCTGGAGCTGTGCTCTACCACCAGAGGAACAATCCGCCAACGAGCCCTACGCCGCCGACGAGCCGAACTTCCGTGTGGAAATCCGATTCCGCAACGGTACCTACCCTAACAGCACCACGATTGCCACAAGATCCAGCAAGACCCTCTCCTCACGGAGCTCCGACAACCCCTACAGCCCATCCCCATCCCCACCAAGCATGAAAGACCAGACCTTCCTCGGCAACACAACAGACAACAACACCGTCCCCTACGCCGGCGAAGAAACCCCCTTCTACATGACCTTCCTCTCAGCCAGCACCCTAACATCAACATCCACCCTTCGCCTGGCGCGAAGATCCTCCGACAGCTCCTTCCCCAACCTCGCAACAATAATCCCATCCCCAGACGAAGACTCCGACGGAACCGCCGCCGCCGCAGACCTATACCCATTACCCTCTTCCCAACCAGTCCGCCTCTACAACCGCGGCCTCGACACAGAACACTACGGCTTCTACACCTACTTCGACCGCTCCATCTTCCTCTCCTCCCTCGCCCCCCTCGACGGCAATACAACCGACACAAACCCCAATGACCAAAACGGCGGATCCAACGAATCCGACGCCCGCGTCCGCTGCACATGGTCACAGACCCGCTTCCTCGTCCAAATCTGGACGCGCTCCAACGATACCCTCCTGCAGAACACAACCTCCACATCCACAGCAACAGCAACCGCATCCACATCAACAGCAACAGCCACAACAACGCCTTCCTCCGCAAATGACTGGACCCGTCCCGGATCCTTCCCTTACCCCGTCACCATAACTCTAGACCGCCATGGCGGGAACGCGAAGAAGAAAATGGTCTATTGTTATGGCATGGAGAGCGGCGAACAGATCAACTCGACGGAAGTCAAGTTGCAGCTCGAGGATCGATCGTACGGTGGCACGCTAGTTAATCCGGCCCCGGGGATTTTCGATCTATATGGGAATTCGTCGACGGATGCGACGGGGGATTATGGGGGTGTTGATGGTGGGAGTGGGGGATGTTCTTGTAAGTGGGCGAATTGGGTATCGAGTTCGTAGGATGGATGATAGGGGATTGTTGGAAGGGAGGAGAAAAGAAATGATATGTTGACTTTTGATGGTTTTTTGAATGATGATTGCATATAACGCATGGTTGCATTGTTTATGGGGAGTAATGACTCGAAGATGATAAGATGCATGCAGTATAATATAGATGCAGAGGTATGAATAAAATAGATGATTTTACTTTTCTCTTTCTCGCATATCTTGAGACAGACTACTGTTTTGCTGAATGCATGTTCCTATTGGATTGAATGAATTTCACCAAAGTCTAATTCACAGTCCATGAATCCCGAGTTACTCCAGAAACCGAAGTAAGAAATAAAAATATGATGATAAAAACGCCGTATATACCTCTAGAAATCCAATTCCAACGAAGGGATATTCTGGTACTATTCGTCCAGAGTACAATATCGGAATTCAACAAGAGCATAGTATATATTATTTGTATAAGTTGTGAAGGACAAAACACCTGAAATTAACAAGCAAGGAAAATGATAATAATGTATCATAAGTGAGCGAAGCGATCATCCACTTCTCGTCAATGATTATTAGACTTTTTTGTAGGGTTTCTGGGTGTGAAAAGAACCTGCCCACTTCGCTGTATTTCATGTCTTTTTCTTTCTATGTTGGTTTTCGGGGGCAGTTGTCTTGTCAATCATCAAGCAGTCTAGTGGTGCATGATATCGAAGGAATAATCTCAGAAGAAAGACAATATCTGGGATCAAGGCAAAGTAGCGCTGATCTAAGCCAAGACAAGCAAGCCCATGGCGATGCTTCCGACAAGCGCAAGGCCGGGAAGAACCATCTTGGCACCAGAGCTGGACGAGATGAATCCCGTGGAGGTAGGTGCAGCAGGAACAGTAGCAGCGCCGCCACCGCCGCCACCGCCTCCAGAGGTGCCGGTAGAAAAGGACCCTGAAGAGGTAGTCGAGTTGGAGAACGGCTGCGATGAAGTGGTGCTGGCGTTGCTGCTAGCGGCCGGGGGGATGCTGGCAGGAGGAGCACTGGTCACGGCGGGGTTCGATTCGATCGGTGCTGGTGGGACGCTGGCAGCAGCTGGAGCGCTCGTTTGAGCGGCCTGTGTCTCCCCTGCGGAGGTCTTGATGAGCGGGACGCTCGATTGAGCAGCGGTGCCAATCGCCTGGCTAGCCGGGGCGCTGGAGCCAGCAGCGGCGGGCTCGGTGTTGGTGGCTACCGGAGCGCTGGATTCAGTGGCAGCGGGATGAGTCTCGGTAGCGCTGGACTTGATGACTGGAACGCTTGTCTCGGAGGAGGCAGAAGCTGGAGCACTGGATGCGGCAATGGGAGGGGGGTGCTGAACGGCGGATTCAGTTGCAGCACTGCTGGGCTCCGCGGTGACGACGGCGGTGGCTTCGACGGTACTTTGAGCGGTTACTGTTGTCACTTTGCCGTCGTCACTAGCGGACTGGGCTGCGTGGACAGTGCCGGCAGCGAAGGCCAGAGCGGTCACAACGTGGGTTGAGTAACGCATTGTGAATGGAAGAGACTTAGGAGAGAAAGAAGAAAGAGATCTATCGCGGTACAAGCAGCAAAACTGAGCGTCAAGAAGAAGGATTGGAAGGTAGAGAATGAAGCATGACAACGCAGACGGATCGAGCTGGGTCTTGAGGTTCTTTATAGCTTTCCTTGATGTACCGTTCCGGTACTACCATCTTTGCTTGACAGTCGGTTTAAACTCCGGCACAAGTGCTTCTTCATGGTGTTATCCACGAATCGCAAGAGGTTTAGGGATCCGGATGCCGTAGTGTGGGAACGAACGTGGGAAGCTAGGCACTGCTTCCGGACTAGATCGAACAGATTGGATCTCAAAATAGCACAGCTGCAACCCAAAGCATTGACAGCCGCCCGGATCTAGATAGACTACTCCTGCTGGTAGCAAATCCAACTGGGGCTCTTCCCAGCGTCATGTGACTTGAAGCTGCCACCCCAGGGCTTCCTAAAAGGGAAGTCGAGTGGCCGGAATCGGCCAGCCTGAGGAATGTTGATCCATTCCTCGACGATCTGTAGCCCTGCGAAGAGAACAGTATCTTTGAACGCATTTAGGAAGTGCAATGGGGATGCAGCAACCTCTCAATAGACGGAAGCATCCCCAGGATGCTGCTACGTCAGCCTCACCACGTTGCAGTCTCGACTGTGGCATGTTTCGCAAGCAATGTGCCACCGGATGCTTGACACCTAAATGTCGATCGATTAGTAGCTAAATCTAGCGATTTCTGATGTATCTCGACTAGTGACTCGGTCGTCTTTCGTTAGTCATGTTAGTCGTTCAAAGCGCAAGTTGTCGATTGTTGGGAACATCGTTGCGACTGCAGCTTTCAGTACTACCAATGCTGGGACTTAGCGACAGACAGACACTAAAGGCGCTTCGAGTACAGCGTTTTCGTTCAAGGCTACTGCCTGTGGTAGCCGCCAGCCTTTCATTGTTTGGTTGTATCTCTGAATGCTCGATAGCTTCTTTGTAGTTCTGTTCTTTGTCTGGTTCTCATGTGCAAGCTGTCATCCCATCAGGGGAGGGGAGGCATAATTCAGACATGATAGCTTTAGCACTCATATCAGCCAGTTGTTTCCAAGACAGGGATGTCAATGCCTTGAAGGATGACTTCTTTGTGAAGCTTCAAGTATGGAGGCCACTGATCACTATCCACAGAAGCCCTTTGACAGAGCGGCGAGTCGACGACATGTAGACATCCGCATACCAGATGGATAGGAGGTGGTCAAGATTTAATATAGATCAAGCTTCCTAGACGGACAAATTCTCCGTCAACTCAGAGGTAAATCTTGATATTTATACAAAGTCGAGCATATCCATGGTGTCAGAGGACAGACATGAGCTGGACCAGTGGTTCTCATTCGGCACCGGCCCGGAGATCCGCCGATCGCCGCCCCCTCGAGGTCAATTAATCCATGATTCCGCCATCCTTTATCATCCCCCCAAGACCCTTACTATTTCCCTTAATCAACACTTCATACGTGTCGCCATACCGGCTCCAAGGTCGGTCGGTCCCTCCTCCGTGCCTCTGCACTCCGGCCTCATGCCACCGCCCGTCACTCATGCCTCTCCGACGCAACATTCCCACCTCCGCCCTTCTGTCTCCCGGCGACTATGACGAAGATGCCGAGTCGCTTCGTTCCCCGTCAGAGCAGGACTCTGACTCGGAGGACGACGAGTTTCTTCGAAGATCACGCACTACATTAGAACTTGCCGAACACGATCGCACAGTACTGGAAGAGGAAGAAGAAACAGAGAAACTGCTCACCCGAACCGGTCCAACTCATGGCCTTCGCCGCATCTTCAGCCCCAGCAGTAGTAGTGTTCGAATCGGAAAGCAGGAACGCAGGCGACAACGCCAACAGGCCCGAAGAGAGGCCCGCAAAGAGCGTCGTAAGAAGGCGCGTGGATCCGGAGAGATAATGTTCGAGATGGAAGAGGGTCATCGGGACGATGAGCACTCTCTCCTGAGCGCATCTTCGTCCGACTTCGACACACGCGTCAAAGAATATGCTTTTATGCAGGTATGGATGTTACAGAATAACCTCTCATGGGTTCTGCGGGAGCTCCGGTACTGACCTCTGGTAACCAGCCACGGCGCGTTCCATGGCGCAGACTCGCCCTCGTATTCTCCGCTATCTTTATCCTTCTCCTCATCTTCTTACTGGGCGCATATAAAGCATCTATAAAGTATCGAGCCCCTCATTTCTCGAGGCAGCTTCTATCTAATGGCACTGCGTTGTTCGCCCCCACGACGATCTTGATCTCTCTCGATGGTTTCCGAGCGGACTTTCTCACTCGTGGCTTGACACCAACCCTCCGCTCATTCATTGCAAACGGCGTCTCGCCGCAGTACATGCTACCCAGTTTTCCGAGCGTGACCTTCCCGAATCACTTTACACTTGTTACGGGACTGTATCCCGAGAGCCACGGAATCGTTGGAAATACCTTCTGGGATCCGGAGCTGCAGGAAGAGTTCTACTATACCCACCCGTCCGTCAGCATGCAGCCGAAATGGTGGAACGCGGAGCCCCTCTGGATGACGGCCGAGAATCAGGGCGTGAGGACCGCTGTTCATATGTGGCCGGGTTCCGAGGCACATATCGGAGGCGTAGATCCAACCTACCTAGACGAATACAACGGGTCCGAAATGCTTTCCTCGAAAGTGGAACGCATCTTGGGATTGTTGGATATGCCGGGAGTAGAAGCGGAGTCAGACATTGCACCCCAAAGGCCCCAGGTTATTGCTGCCTATGTTCCGAATGTTGATGCAGATGGACATAACTATGGCCCCAACAGCACTGAAACTCGCAACACAATCGCTAAGGTGGACGACATGCTTGGCAGCCTATTCTCCGGTATCGAAGCACGCAATCTAACGGATGTCGTGAACATCGTGATTGTCTCCGACCATGGCATGGCGACAACCGCGACCGAGCGATTGGTTCAGTTGGAGGACCTGGTCGATCTTGATCTAGTCCAGCGCATCGACGGCTGGCCGTTACGCGGGCTGCGTCCCAAACGGCCAGAGGATCTCCAAATTCTCCAAGATCAGCTGGAGAGCGTGGCCGCGAACTATTCGCATGCGGTCGAGATCTACACACGTGAGGGCATGCCTGAACGCTATCATTTCAAAAACAATGATCGCATCGCCCCTCTGTGGGTAATTCCAAAGACAGGGTGGGCAGTCGTCGAGCGTGCCGACTTTGATGCCCAGAAGGCCTTGGAGAATGGGGAGGTCTACCACCCCAGAGGCATTCATGGATATGACCACGAGCACCCCTTGATGCGGGCAATTTTTATCGCCAGGGGACCCGCATTCCCCCATGAACCAAACAGTCGCTTGGAAGCATTTCGTGAGTCATCCCCGACCCTTCGTCGCGCGGAGTTGGATTTGAGCTAACCCAGGTAGAAAACATCAATGTGTACAACATTATCTGCGACTCACTCGGGATCACGGCGCACCCAAACAATGGGACCATGCGTC